TTACATAAAAAAAATTTCATAAGAAAAAGAAATATTTGAAAAATTGATAGTAACTTTAAACAGACAAATTGAAAGCTACAGTATTTAGTAATTAATTCAGTAATAAACAAATGTTCTTAAAGGCACTAATAGGGACACTTATTCTACGCATTTTTAAAAGAAACCAAGAATATTCTATGTAAAAATTGATTTTGGATCACAAATAACGGCCAAGCGGATCAACCCACAGTTCCGAGAATGTTTCATTCAGAGAAGGTACAACATGCGCCGTATTTTATGCAAACAAATAATTGCGAGTTTAATATGCAACAAACACAGTGTTCATTGTTTTAGGCTTTCCGCTTTTTGTTATTGACCAAATTGACTAATTGCTTCTATGAATTTTTATTAATTTATTGAAATGTTTAATTTGATTTATTGATGGTTTTTATTAATTTATTTATATGTTAATTTGTACCTACTGAGGAAGACTCCGTGCAGTCGAAACGTTTTGGCATTAATTTTTCTATATTTTTATAACATTATGTCTTAGTGATTTCATGTCACGTCACACCTTGCTTGTTCCTTGGCCGAGTCTAAATTACTTACTTGCTTTTTTAAACACAAGCTAGTAAATGTGTTTCTAATTTTAATAACTTTTTATTCGGCGCGTCGGCGGTGATGGTGTTTGGCGGCATGCAATGTAGTCGGTTGTATTCGTCTGAAATAAAAAATTCAAAAAGATTGTTGTTTATCAAGAGTTTATGCATTAACTGAACCTATTTTTAAAGAAAATGATGCCAAATTGTGAAAACTGCGACACTTAGAAAAAGAAGATAGCGATATTGACAAAAAATTTGTCATGCTTATTATGCAATAAAAATTATTTAATTAAATAATATTATTATAAACTGTAGTTCAAGTTATTAGGGAAGTATTTGTGCAGATATGTGCAAAGACCCAAGTCAATCGGATGAATAGTTTTTGAATTATCTTGCACGCCGTTAAACACCACCGCAGAATAAATGTTATTATTACTTGCATAATAAATACTTTTTCTGACAAAAAAATATTTTTTTGTTAGTTCAATAGTATAAGAAATTACCCTATAAAGTTCAAAAGAATTGGTTGAATAGTTCCCTTAAAAAAATTCCAAAAATGTCACCTAATTTCTCAGCGTGCTAAGCTAGGCTCCTCCCTCCTTAAGGCAATGAGACAAAAAGGAATTCAATAAATGTTGGAAATAGTAAATTTGAACTTAAGGCGCTTTATAGATTTAGCTAATCGATAATCGAAGGAGCCATATTTGTATCGCGATTAACATCGAGTCGTTTCTCTTCTTGCTTCTCGACTTTCTCGTTACGCCCCGTTGTACTGTGTGTAAAAGAGAATTCTGTTTCCAAATATATATATTCAGTATTCAGCATTCTCAGTATCCCTTTATTCATATATCCCACTGTGATACATCCCTAAGATTACATCAATAAACACCAAGATTTGTCTTCAAAAGTGAGTTTTCTTTTTGTTTCTTCTAAAGCTAAACTCTATCTCAAATTTTGGCTTTGAAGTTGATTCTGGATGAGTCGTAAATAACAAGAACAAGGCAATGCTCGTTACACAATACGCGACACGCTTATGGGGTTATACCACCTTGTAGGCCCTAAAATGATACCTAAGTTTGGGATTTTTTTCTGAGTAAACAGATAACTTTATTAAAAAATTACTTTAAGGACATTGTTGTACATATATAATAATGTAAAAAAAATATTTTTTTATTTTTTTAATGTTCAAAATGGTGGCATACTGGCCTACTTGCCGAATGCCTTTTTTCTAAATCTTGAAATCGGTGTACAAGATTGCAGGCACACAGTTTGATCTTGAACAAAATACAAAGAATTTTCATTGTCTATATATTAAAAACTACAGATGTTACGTAGGCATTTTTCAAAATATTGATTTTTCTCGAAATAGCAATTATTTTTACGAGAAACGTGCATTTTTGCCCTAAAATTTAATTATAAAAATGTTAATTGCAAAAAAAGTTTTCAATATTTCGAAAAAATCCTACGTACCTCTTTAAAAAATGAATTGAAGAATATTCTGTGAAAATTTCAAATAAATCGGATAAAAACTGTAAAAGTTATATTATATACCGATTTTAAAAATGCTATTTCGAAAAAAACGCGTTTAAAGATTTTAAGAGGATTCTTTTGTCTATAGAAACAAAAATTTTAATTCTACCTTCAATCTGCGATGCCTGCCCCATAAAGCTACAGTTGTATGATTGTAGTGACATCTATACAAGGTGTCCCATTTTAATCGATTACCTCAAATATCTCTTGAACCATTTTAGGGAAAAATATTTTAGACAAAACTTTTGGGACTTCGAGGTGGACATAAAATGATAACATTAGTTTAACCCTGAGTGGCGTCGTCAAGATCAGGACAAGGTCACTTTAAATTTTTTAAATGGAATCATCCATTTTTCATTACATATTCTTGTAGCACACCTTGAGAGCTTTTCAAAACACACAGATATATTTTTTTATGAAATAAATCTTGAGTTATGAAGCTTGAAAGTTGGAGTACCGTCGGCGTTAGCATCATCCAAGGTCCGAACACTAGCTAAAATCTTTTGAATGTTGTTCAGGATCATGACATTGATAAAACATGTGAAGGTCATGACCATTGGAAATTGTTTCTCTTTTTTTTTTAAATAAATATAATTTTCAAAAATAAAAATAAAAGCAATAACCTTTAATAGCCTTGATCTTAGCATGTGTTAACTAGGTTATGATCCTGAACATTCAAAAGGTTTTAGACAGTGTTCGGACATCTTGGATAATGCTAATGCCGATGGTACTGCAACTTTCAAGTTTCATAATTCAAGATTTATTTAATCGAAAAAATATTTTATCTATGTGTTTTGGAAAGCTTTCGAGGTGTGCTACAAAAATATGTAATGAAAAATGGGGGATTCCATTAAAAAAATTCAAAGTGACCTTGACGCCACTCAGGGTCAAATCAATGTTAACATCTTATGTCCCCCTCGAAGTCCCAAAACTTTTGTCTGAAACATTTTTCCCTAAAATCTACTGTTCAAGAGATATTTGAGGTAATCGATTAAAATGGGACACCCTGTATATATTATATATAATATAAAACTATTATTATTCTATTATATATAATGTATAAAGATATAGAACTATTATTATTTTTATTATTTAATGACAACAGTAAAAAATTTTATGCAAATTAAATTTAAAAAAAAAATGATTATAAAAATTATATTCTTAATGTCACATGTAGGCTAAAAAATAAAATTATAATTTATAGTTTCTATTTTTTGGAAAAAATAATGACAAAATTTAAAATACTATACTGATAAAAACAACATTTTTTAAAACAAGATTATATACAAAATGGTTAAAAACTTTATTTTAGTAAAAATTAACTTTTATTCTGATATATTCTATACATGTAATATGAACACTGAAAAAATTATGTTCAATCTCTATATAAAGAAATAACTTTTTAGAATATTTTAATAATATACACATGCACGCGCACGCGCGCGCACATATATGCAAATATACAATATTGATTTGATTAAGTTTAAGCTTTTATATTTTTATATTGTCCCTTTTTTATTATTTTTAGCATTTGCACATTATTTATATTTTATTGAGTTTTATTTTTGATTTTGCATGTTTTTTTGTGTCTGCTGCACTTCCGTGCTCTCCTTGGTTGGTAATATGCATGTAGTTATAAATCCGGAACTGGTAATGGAGGTAGAAGCTAGGATGAATAGAGCTTATCTACCATCGCGACTATTACCACTTAGAGGATCAACACTTCCACACCACAGGAAATCTTCATTATATCATACTAGTACTGGTAATAGAGATTTTTGCACTATTGTATTTTGTGATTTTTTTTCTGTATACTTTCAAGATATAATTAAGATTAAAGATTTGTCATTTTAGTATTATTAAAGTTTGCTATATATATAATATAGAGAATTTATATACATTATATTTGATTAAAATTACAATCTAAAAATATGCATATAATTTTGTACTACACTTAGTTTAAACTAAGTATTAAACTTATAAAAATTTTTGAATTTAATCCTAGTTTGACAATGAAATTTCAATAAAATTTTTCGAAAATGTTTATAAAATATAAAATTAAAATTTTTATATGAAAATACATATTGTGTTTTAAAACATTAATTTTTACAGAAATTAACCATCAATTGTATTTAATAAAAAAATAATAAATAAATAAATATATATATGTACATATATACAGGGTGTCTCGTAACGCTTAATTAATATTTCAAGGCGTGAAAGAGAATGAAATTTTGAACTAAAAGTTCCTTTTTCAATTTTGGCTCAGACCATTATTTACAGAGTTATTAACGAATAAAGTTAATCAATCAGATCGCGCTTAGCCGGAGTACGCAGGAGCGTAGCGTGCCGTACGTGCGGCTCTTCGCGCTCACTTCACAGGTGAATGTATGTGAATGTATATACAATGTATACATATATATAAATAAAAATACATACAATATATACATACGCATATATATATTTAATTCTTAATTAATACTTCGAAGAGTAAATGAGAATGAAACATAGCATGTGTCATGGGGCTCTTCGCACTTACTGTACATTATCCCGATTAAAATTTTATTCTAATTTTTTATATTAATAAATAAATAATGGTAAATGAATAGTAGTCTTAACCAAAATTGGGACAAGGAGGATTAATTATTTCAAAATTTCATTCTCTTTTACCCCTCAAAATATTAATTAAGAGTTATGGAACATTCTGTATACACATATATAAATGGATATGTATATGTATAAGTATATGTATGTATATATGTATATATATATA